CCGACTTCTAAATGGCCACCATGGTCACCACCCATCTTGAGGAGTTTGCCCCCTCACATATACTAATGTGCCACAAACAGGACTTTAATATCACCAAACATTCCCATGTTATTACAGTGTATCCATATAAATGGCCCACCCTGTACTTTTTAGATTCTGTTCTTTGCTTTAATGTTCTGCATATTCACAGATTATTTTACAATATGCATTTTGTGTTTGATGCTTTGTCATTATGTCTTGATTGGACTTGATCTTGTAGTTACATTCTCTTTTTGTTTCCCTCCAGGTTACAGTCCAGCATGGGAGGTGTGCAGTCTGCTCGGTCAGTGTGACGGTTATGGAGACCTGGAGGCCCGGCAAGAACTGTTAGCCTTCTCTCTCACACACTGCCCCCCTGACAGCATCCACGGCCTCCTGGCCGCCTCCAGTGACCTACAAACTCAGTAAAATTAGGACTGCTAAGGAAGTTTTTAAATGATCAATGTAGACAACAATAAAAGTGCCTCCCAAGCCTGTGAGTCAAGGACCTTTAAGATAAATAAGATAATTAGACCTTAGTATACATATACAGTATACAAACGTTAAATCACCAATCACATGGAAGCAACTCTGTGCTTTTAGTCATGTAGACACGGTCATGACTTCTTAAAGTCCAAACAGAGCGTCAGAATGGGGGAAGATGATTTAAGTGACTTTGAATGTGGCATGGTTGTTGGTTGGTCTGAGTGTTTCAGAAACTGCTGATCTACTGGGATTTACAAAGAATGGTCTGAAAAAGAGAAAATATTCAGTGAGCAGCAGTGCTGTGACAAAAATACCTTGTTTGTGCCAGAGATGAGAGGAGAATGGCCAGACTTGATAGGAAGGCCAACAGTAACTCACTGTACCACTGGTTACAACCAAGGGATCCGGAAGAACGGATCTCTGAACGGACAACACGCCAAAGATGGGCTACAACAACAGAAGAGCATTACAGGTGTCACTCCTGTCAGCTAGGAACAGGAAAGAGAGGCTACAATTTGCACAGCTCACCAAAATAGAACAACAGAAGATTGGAAAAAGATTGCCTGGTCTATCGTGCTGCAACATTCAGATAGGAGGATCAGAATTTGGGTAACTGACAAGAGAGCATGGATCCATCCTGCCTTATATTTTTGGCATACTTCTTGACTTTTTAGTCTGAACACGCTTATCCCTTTATGACTACAGTGTACCAGTCTTATAGTTACTTTCCGCATGACAGCACACCATGTTGAAAAGCTTAAATCATCTCAAATATGGAGGAAACCGAATTTGTTATTTCTGGCAAAATAGCTCTAATCTCTTGTTTTCCTCCTCCCTCTATCCTGCAGGTGTTGTACCAGGCTGTTAACTATCAAATGGAGCCTGTAAATACAGAGACCGGACGAGAAGTTGACGAGACAGACTCTTTAAAGGTAAATGTAATTTTTTTTCCTTACAACCCCCTCATTCTGTTTTCCATCACATGCATGTTCTTGTTTGAACTGCCTCCTCTATCCCTGTGTGGGTTTGTTTCTGTCCTGTTCAGTTTGTGTGTTTTCCTGCCGCTCCATATTTGATGAGGTGTAAATCTAGTGTTACGGTCCTCAGCTCCCTTGTTTTATTTATGCCTTCCTTTCTCCTCCCCTTCAGCACTGCCAGCTTTATGATGCCTTGAGTGGGTGTTAATGTTTCATGACTTGCATTTCATCCCCCTTTGTGTGCAAATAGGTGCTCATTTGAAGCTGTCTGTTATCATTTTATTATTGTATTGATGTCCCTCACTTGTATATGTTTAAGCTGCCCAAATGTGTTCTGTGTGTGCACCGTGGGCATGTATTTATGCAGCTTTCGGTGTATGTGTATGTACTGAATAGCTGGCTTTTATTATATCTTTTTATCATGCGTATATGTTTTCTTTATTTCATGCTCTTACCCTTAATCCCTTGCTAAATAAAGTATTGATGAAAGGCACTAAATGATTTGGCTCCAGCCCACTGGATCTCCCAAGATGGCTTTGTAAAGATTTTCAAATGTATAGAAAACAGCACTTTATTGAATTTTGTGGTGTACTTATTAATGTACATTACATTGCAAAAGGATTGCAACTTTCATTTCCAAATATTAAATGTTAAAGATTTTTGTGGAAGAGGAAGCTCTCAGAGAAGATTAATAACTAAATACTGACGCTGCTTTGAGAAGGGTAGTTCAGAAGACCAACAGAACACAAATACCACAATTGTGACTTAACTGTGACAGCTTCTTTGACTACCTTACTCTGTTCAAAGTCAACAAAATAGACCACTTCTGAAGCACTCTATCTATATCTGAAAAATGTGGGTTAGGTGGCAGATGCTCCGTTTCACCAGCTAATAAAAAGTGGAGATACTAAGACGTCCAAAACAGTTTTGTTTGGTTTCTATAAGCATGGAAGGATATACAAAGGCTGGGATATGGAAGCAAATTAGGACAAAATATTCTTTTGATCATAATTTTGACTGTAGAAATCTGAAGGAAAAATAAGTCAGAAACCCAGGACTTGTGTCAGAATTCTGACCTTTTTCTTGGAATTCTGCTTTTTTAAAATTCTAACTTTTGTGGAAATTCTAAGGAAAAAAATTTAGAGAAAAAAAACAAACATAATTCAAGCTTTATTTTCACAGTTCTGTTATCTTAGAACTTCAAAATAGTCAAAATTACTGAGATAAAAGTCATAACTCTTTATCACTCATCTTTGAGTGTTTAGCCAACATAAAACTTCTAATCTTATTTTGAGATGAGCTAAAATTAGCCAGCACTGATCTTCAGCCCATACAGTGGTGTGCCTCTAAGATATATACTAGGTGTGTTTCGAGTGGATTGTCTTATCTAACTCTGTGTTAGATGAGATAAATTCTGTTGCTTTAAGAAGGAAGCTTTTGCTTTGTCAAGGAGCGAAACACTGAATAAAATTTTTAATTCAGTTGTATAATCTTAGTGACGAAAGTATTAGTGACAGAAATACTTGTTGTATTATGAATCTGTTCTACATCTGTGTAGAATTTTCCTCTGCCTGTGTGACTTTTGGAAAGTTTTCTGAACAAACACACAATACAGAATGTGTGTTTCAGAACCAGAAGGGCCCTGCTTGAATGCATATTGTAATTCCTCTATGCACTACATAAATAAACCAGTAAAAGAAAAAGAGCCCTGCACTTATTAAAATGGCTTCTCAGAAGTACCTAATAAAAAATAGAATACAATATTCATGGGTCTAATCTAGCAGTGCCGATCGAGCGATGCTGTGTTTTTATTTACAAAAAGGAGGTGTTGTATGCTGCACACTGTTCTCAAACTGTAAAGCCCCTTGTCGTGGGTACTTCTACAAAGGCTCCAGAGTGACACAGTAGAATATGTTTGCCATTAATTTTTCTTCTCTTTCTTTCTCTTCAGCCCCAACCTCGTGTGGGCTCCTCTGTGGGGACAGCAGGAGACCTCCTGCACAGGACTACAGCGAAGACCATGGAAGTCCTGACTACTACAGGACTGAATACCAAGGCTGTTTTGACTGCAGTCAGTGACCACCGCTGGTGGAAGGACTCACTCAATTACCTCCGGCCGCTGCATGTAAGAATCCATTGACTGTGTTGTTTTAATTAATTCTTCGCTGCAGATGAAGATTTTTTTTGTAAAGTTCTTAATGGGTGCACTTACCACCTTGTAGGTTTAAAAAATACAGTTCCTATGCATTTTACTGATATAAATGTATTTATATTCTGTGTAATAATCATGATCAATTAGCCAGCAACAGCGTAGCAGCGGTTATGGATGTATCCGCCTTGTTTTTAACTCTACAGACTAATGGGCTGCATAGACAGATCTCATGTCTGTCTGCACTCCCATACCTCACATACTTTTGCTCGCAGACTTCAAAAATCACCAATCAAGAGCTCATCTCCTGCATAATTAATTGGCCCTCCTGTTGAATATTTCAATATCTGGTGGCTGCACGGGCCCGACGGTCGCCCGGGTGGAGATTGATGGCGTCTCTGGTGTTGGCAGCAATTGGGAGGGGTGATCGTGATTGCGGCTTTCTAAAGAAAGAGGAAAAATTGCATGGATGTTAGCTGTGGGACAGGGAAAAAATATGACAGTGTTGAGGGCATGTTGTGAAAGTTTAATGATGTTTTGATGGCTCCTCAGGGTCGTGGTTCAGGAGCCACTAGCCAGGAAGGGGCATGTGAGAACGCCAACTTGGAGCGTCAAGGCTGCAGCCCCTTTTATCAGGATCTCATTGAGGATCCCTATGTAGACACGGTGAGTGGCTTAAGACCAGTGTTTCTCGTAGCTCTTTGCTTCGTACATTCTTATCAACCTTCTTTCTTCTTATGTTTTGTTTTCTCACCCCAGGGCATCCTTTCAAATTACAGCAAAAACTGCATGAGTAGGCTTATGACTGGGCAATTAATTCGATTTTCTTGCTATGACTTATACATTCTTTAAAAAGCAGCGTTGAGACAAAATGAATATTGATTTCAGACTGAACAATTATAATGCCAAGTACTAACAGAAGGGACTTTGGACTACTGGTATGATGCTAAAAATAATCCAAAAGAAAAGAATGTCAACAGAAGGAATTATAGGGATACAAAAGAGTAAAAGTAAGAAAAGGAGTAGATTGACCTTTGTACCTGGGAAGTGGTTGCCTCTGGGCTATGACTGGGCTTTTTACTCAGAGACACAAATCATACGGAGAGCTGAAAGAGCGGACGGGAGGGGAAACGGAGAAGGCCGATACATCTCCTCTTATGACATTTTAATAGGCTTCTCCAAATCCCTTCCTTCACTTCATCGCCAGCATCCATCCATCTTCCATCATCCATCTACCAATAATTACTCCCCACATCCATCTGCCCATGAGCTGGCTGATCAATGGGATTAGTTTTTACCTTAACAGTTGCAATGAAGGGAGTGGGGATTGAGGAGAGACTGATTGAGAGAGAAAGAGAGACAAATGCAACGGGACTGAAAGATGGATAGAGACAGAGTGGCGAAGACAGACAGGACACACTCTGCGTTGAAGCGATAGCTCTGAGACCGAGCAAGAGCAGAAACTTTATTGTCCGCCACTCAGACACATGAGAAAGAACTTGTATACAAGAAACCTATAAATGACTTTTCAAAAGGGCCTGGTTTTGAAACGCTTTACTTGGCTCTGAAGTTCATTTGTTCACTCAGTCTCTCATCTGTCTGACTCCTTGAGAATGAAGATATTCAGTCATCTTCATCATGTCTTGCTGTGCTTTTTCTAGTCTGCTCAGATATGGGGAGGGAGGGTTGCCTTAATATAAAGAAAAGTACTATATCACTCTTCCTTTGTCATTCTTTCTTTTAGAGTCAAGATGTGTATTCATTCTACAAAGAAGTGCCTGCAGAAAACTTTGCTGAGGTTTTGTTGAGGACTGGAAAACTGGCTGAGGCAAAAACTGAGGGAAAAACCCCGTTTCCTGCTACAGAAGGTAAGCATGTGGCCTACATAGACATAGATTTTCTAGTAACGGGTTGGACCTACCTTTGCCTTCAAGAAGCTGCTGGAAACAGAGATTTTGGTCCATATTGACGTGTTAGCATCACACAGTTGCTGCTGATTTGCCGGCAATACATCCTAAATGCCAATCTCCCATTCTACCACATCCCAAAGGTGTTCTACTGGATTGCAATGTGGTGACTGTGGAGGCCATTTGAGTAAAGTGAACTCATTATTATGTTCAAGAAACCAGTTTGAAATTATTTGAGCTTTGTGGCATGTTCTCCTCTAAGCAGCCATCAAATGATGTGTACACTGTCAGCAGCAATACTCAGGTAGCCTGTGGTGTTTACACAATGCTCAGTATCTATTAAGCATTTGGTGGCCCAAGGTGTGCCAAGAAAACATTCCCCACACTATTACACCATCACCAGATGATGTAGAAGACAGTGTTGTATATCTGACCTGTTCTTAGCTGACAAGAGTGGCTTCCAATGTGCTCCTCTGCTGTTGTAGCCCACCTGCTTCAAGGTTAAATGTGTTTTGCATTCAAAGATGGTCTCTTGGTTGTAACGAGTTGTTCTTTGTATTACTGTTTCCTTCCCGTCAGCTCAAAGAAGTCTGGCATCAACAAGGCATTTTCTCCCACGGAACTGCCGCTCACTGGACATTTTCTCTTTTTCGGTTCATTCTCTGTGAACCCAGAGATGGTGGAAACTGCTGATCCCAGTAACCACGCCACGTTCAAAGCCATTTAAATCACCTTTCTTCCCTGCTCTGATGCTCCGTATGAACTTCAGCAGGTTCTTTTCATCTTGTTTACATGCTTAAAAGCAGGGAGTTGCTTTCATGTGATTGGCTATTTAGGTATTTGTGTTAACAAGCAGTTGAGCAAAGTAGCCACTGAGTTTATACAACAAATATATTGCCATATAATAGTATGGTAAAGTCTGGAATTTGTTTCTTTATTGCCATTTCTTCTGGATGAAGTCTGTTTCCTGGGTCTTTCTCTTTCTTTGTCTTTGCCTGTTTTTCTGCTTCCTACACTGAGCACTATGTTTGAGTGCTTTAGCCAGGAAAGGGTTTCCAGGGGGAGTAGCCACAGTACTGAATCATTTTTATCTACGCACAATTTGTGGATGGCGGACTTCTCAATTATAAACTCTCATACAATTCCTGGTTTCCAGTTTGCAAGAACTTTTTTTGCATCAGCAGAAGCTTCTTTCTCCAACCCGAGCCTCTGATTTATTTTTGGTATTCAGGGTTTCTGACTTCTAATTTCATAACCAACCTTCAATAAAATTTATAACCTCACTGTTTATTATTCTTGGTGTACTACAACTCAATTCTACTCCAGATTGGATTTTGGAATCAGGCTGAATCTGAGTGGAGTTTTTGAGGGTTTTTGAGGGCTAGTTGTTCAGACTTTTTGACCTTGTCTGTCGCTGCTCACTAAGTCAATGTGCTTACCACGGTTTTTGCTGTATAATTTAAATTTGAAATTGTAGTTATCGGTACATTGATTTGGCAAGATCTCAACTGTCAGGTTGCTTGTTAAATTTTTTTCCAGGATTTCAAATTATTATTATGATAATGCAGCTTCTAAGTGTTTGATTGAGGCTGAATTTTGTTTAACTTAGCTTTTTCCTCAGCGCTCCATCTTAGTGAAGCTGGATGGTATTTGCACAGCGTAGTTGGCTTCCTCCTTGACACCCTGCCCTCTCCTCTTCTCATCTATCTTAGCCTGGGAGCCCATATATGGTCGACTAGGGGACAACACGGGAAGAATAGCCTCACTGATTAATTAATGTATCCGCACGCATCCCACCGCATCAGTAAATAATGCTGCATCACTGCAGAGATACTAGAGAGATAGCATCAAGTCAAAACATCAAGGCCACACTGCATGATGGATCATAGCTGCTCGCGAAAATCAATGACACTACAAAAACAAACGTGTGTGTGTGTGTCTGCATGTAATACAAATGCATGTAAAATTCCACACTTGCAGTCACATTTTCACACATCCACACTTTTCAGCAAATCCAACTTCTCTGCAGTTGCCGCTGTCATTCAAATGAATATCTCTCTTTTCTTAAAAGTCACCTTCCCTTCGGAGCAGCTGCAGAGTGCGACGTGTCGAGAAAGAGAAAAGCCACTCTGGACAGCATCGCGTCCGATAACAACCTTCGATTAATGACTGGTGTGTCGGCCCGCCGCGCTGGCTGTCCTTAAAAAACAGACTAGGAGATGGCCTTTAAGAAAATAAATATATCGATTTTTCACCTGGCCTAGATAAGTTGGAGGTAATTAATGATGACACAAGTGGAAAGTGACTCAATGGGATTGAGCTGAGTAAGGTGCAGACACAAGCACTTGATGTGAAGACAAGTGGGGAGAAAGAGAGAGGTAGACACACACACATATTTGCACACATGACTCCAAACTCCACTGACACACAGCATGGAGTGCTGCCATTTGCCAAATGTTGACCAGGCTCTAATCAGTTGTTTTTCCCCACACTGCCTGCACAGGTGAAATAGTAATAGGTTAGTGTCTCACCGACCTACTAACAATGTGCTCGATTTAGCTGACACAGGAGCAGGAGTGTGTGTGTGTGTGTGTGTGGATGCAGACACACAAAAACAGCCCATCTAATGCACCCACTTCTCTGTGTGTTGTCTCTATCACTTTCTCTGCACTCACTCACAAACGCACACACACACACAAACACTCACTCACAAGAAGAAATGTTGTATGCTTTAAAGGCAGGGTTATCTATTTAGTGTGTGTGTCTGTGTGTGTGTGTGTTTACCCCTCTGGTAATTCCTGTCCCGATGGTATCTGTAGCTTTAGAGAGGCGTGTAATCAGCTCATTCTGAGGTGTAGCTCATTGAAACCCGTGGGGTAGGAGAGGAGGGGAGAGAAAAACGAGCAAAGGAGAAGGGTGGGCACACTGCTTAAGAGAGCTGTTATTTGTCCTTAAACTAGTTCATTACTTCGCTGCTGCTCGCACATGCAACGGCGTGCACCTTCAGCTATGCCCTTCCAACCATGTGTGTGCACATATGCATATTAGTGTGCATTTTGTTCTACAGTGTGACTCTTCCTGTGCCCTGCCTCTGTCTCCCTCCCAGTGTCCATGCTCTACTTTTCTCTGTCTGTTTCATTTTGTCTCGGGCTCTTATCACCAACGCAGGCTTCTGTTCTCCTTGGGTCTCAGACTACAAAGTGATTCTGTCTGATCCTCTCTGCTGCCTCCCGCTGTTTCCTCAGAGTATGTTTGTTGGTGATTGATTAACTGAGAGCATCCGTGCGCTTACAGTGTTTGGAATTTATCAAGTTCATCTACATATTTTTAATTGTAATCATGCGAGTGCTGTTGTGTGTTTTTGGTCTCATTGTGTCTAACTATTGTGGCCTAGAGGGAAGCTGTTTGGGTTAACTCCATCCTTGTGCCCAGAGCTCTGTAGACACTCCAAAACCCATCAGCCTTAGGGGCACTGCATAAACATGGACTGGTTCCCAGTTTCATACTCGTGCTAACTCTGAATGGGATTAGTTTTTGTTCACTTATGAAAAGCTAATCAATATGCATACCAATTAGTTCTCAATCATTAAATGTTTGCTGCTGCTGTACCACCATAAACCCCACAAGTTCACAAGTTCTGCACGTGAATGCAGAATTTTAAAAGTAAATTTTAAATGGTGATCGTGCAGCAAACATTTCAGTGTTTTAAAAAAATCTTTGTGATTCTGTTTGGGATTTTTAGTGCTGTGTTTATGTAATATTGGCAGGAAAAAAAGAACAGAAAAACTTCAGTCCCATTACCAGTCATGACAGCCCTGTTGCCCTGCCAGTGATTCTGAGTACTTTGGCATGGTCAGTTCATGATGGGCTTTCAAGTCCAGAGTACTGAGTTATAGAAGCTGAAGTTTCAGTGGCTAAGCAGCCATCTGCCCAATGTAGGGGTTAGTGTGTGTGTCGCCATGGCAGTTGAAAGGCATTTAAGTTGTGTCACATAATACCATACTTGTATCTGAATAACTACAAATAAGCCTCAAAGACTCATTTATGCTCGTAAGGGAAATCTTAGTGGAAGGCACGGCATTTCAGTAGTTATGCTATCACCTCACTACGAGAAAGTTCCTGGTTCCCAGTACACGGACTTCCTCCCACAGTCCAAAGTTATGCATACATATAAACTGGAGGTTAAATGATGTTTCTAAAATGTCTTTGGATGTGAGTGATTCAAGTGTATAGAACCCCGTAAAGCACTTTGATTGATCAGTAAGATTAAATAAATGCCAGTTCATGTATTAGAATGTGCTCTGAAAGCCTGCTTTTCATTATATATACAACGTTGTACATGTAAAATCACATTACATTCATTATGCTTCAGAAGACTGCAACTGTGGAATACATGTTGGAAGCATTTACCTTGGTCTGTCATATGTATATACTGTGTATCAGGTGTTGTTTTCTTCTGTAGCTGCTTTATACAATAACTTATATGAGGTTCATATAGATCGAAATAATAAGATGAAACTTGCAATATGAAAAGAAGAAGCCTCAAGCTTAAAAAGCCGATATATAAACTGTATAACCAACTGTTTAGTCAGTTCATCTATATACTGTAGGCCTGAAAGTGCAAGATCAAATTACAAAACAACCGCAGGTGTGATTGAGACCAGAACAAAGGTTACGATCATAGATGGGTTTGGTCTGAGCCATATCTACTTGCAGGAAGAAAAGAGGGGCGATCAGCCTGCTACTTGACGCCCTTCATACATATTCTGTTTTATTTTTTTAATGTATTTGTGTTTGTCTATATATATTGTGTATATATACTATTTTAATATAATTTAGACTTGATCATAGAACTCATAGGCGCTGTCCCATCACAGTAGAATCTCACGTTTTTTACTGCCTTCTTTTACTCATGCAATGCAAATAGCTTAGTTTAGTTAAGTTTGTGTTAAGTACTTAGTCTGCTTTGTTTATAGACCTGTTGAGGCCTGTAGTGAATCTCAATCTAATCTCTCTTATAAAGGCTGGTGTTGTTTTCACCTTGTGAGTCTGCCGGTGTTTAATCATAGCTAAATGTGGTCCTGCTGACAGCTTGTGTAGCTGTGATTGAACTGAGATGGCTGTGTTAGAATTGGAGAACCCTTTTGGGGGGCTAGGCTGCCTCCCTAAGAGAAAGGTGCAGCATACAGAGTTGCTGTTGGTAGCCACGCAGAGGCAAATTTTGCATTCAGGGGATTCACTATTAAAGTGCACTTTGATTAAGTTTGTGCTCATCTGGAGAGCACTTATTAGAAAAGGACCCGTACTTTGTCTTTGACTAATAAATACGATCTGTATTTGAAACAGGTTGTGTGCTCGCAGAAATGAACACATTCAAAGCTAAGTCCACTGTATACAGGTAGATGTAGACATACATGCAGTAGTTTAGTAACCTTTCAGGGATTTTAAGGTTTTTTTCTTCATTTGTGTCCAATATTCCTTCTTCTAGTCCTGTATAGTGTTTCCTGACATATTTCTAGAATATTAAAACATAGGGTTTTTTTTTTTTTGGGTAATCAGTGCTTTAAAATCGTCTCACCTCTCTCTGTCCTTTACAGTATTGCTCCAGCTGGCCAACGATGCATTTCCCAGGGACATGATGCTGGCTCTGTCCTACTTACTTGCTCTGCCTCAGGTAGGGGGACACTCGCACACGTCCTGGTAACAAAAGGAGTTGGATTTTATTTTATTGAGACCATCAGATAGTTGAGCTAATGCATTTTGTCTGCATGATCTATTTCATTTGACATTTTACACCTTTGATTTGATCTCTCATGTTATTAGACATTTCACAAGTTGTAAATATGCATCTCTCTTTGTGTAACAGTGTGAGAACAGTCCACCGTCATAGGCTAGGCTGTGCAAAGACTGAAAACAGAGGCGAGATGTAATGCAGTAGTCTACTTTCATCTCAGGCCTCTTGATTTAGAATATGCTGAAAGCAAAGAGTCAATTTGTGAAAATGCCACTATGATCGTTTGTCTTGCATGTCCTTATATTTGTTCTTACCTGCAGGTGCTGGATGCCAACAGGTGTTTTGATAAGCAGTGTCACTCGGCCTTGTCGCTCCAACTGGCTGCCTACTACTACTCCCTGCAGATCTACTCGCGCCTCATGCCCTGCTTCAAGGACAAGAACCACACTCTTTACCAGGTCAGTGTATTTGTGTGTATGACGCAGTGTTTGGGTGGTTGAATGAATAAATGTTCTGATGTTACCTTGGGAAGACACTAGATGCATGTCTGTGATGTTGTGTAGCCAAAACTGTTTTGTTCCACAGCTCGGAAATACACAAAGAGCGTTTCAGAACTGGGGTGTTTGTTTGCACATCATCTTTTATTTTGAAAAAGAAAAATCTCTATGCTGTTCTTGTGTATGACTTCTGCCCTGCCTCATCTGCTCTACAGCATGACTTGGCTTCTGTCAAAAATAGATTTACCACATATTTTTAGTCATGTGGTGCAGAAAGCTGCTTTTGGGATGCTTAGAAAATGCACTGCAGTGCAGCTGTTGAACGCACAGACAAAAGAATCCAGTTTTAAGCAGCTAGGACACAAAATCTTGATGTGTTGTGAACAGATTATTTTTAGGTCTAGGTCTTGAAACTTTAGAGCCTCAGTGCAGGATTTAGCTGTTTAGGCAGTGCATTTTACTGGTTGGGAGGATCATAGCAAAACAGTGTTTCACCTGTGGTTTAAGTTTGTTTCAAGGTTGCTTCAATAATAAGTGGAGTGAATATAGATGTGTGTATGGCTTTTGAAATGAAATTTTATGTATGCTTTTGTTTGACATTTATTTAAGGAGGAACTAGTATCATAGACATTAAATGTCAGAGCAAACTGTCCACAATCGCAAGAAATGCATCTGTGTGAGTCTGGGTGATCTAACAGTGCAAACGTGATTTGATTTATAAATAAAGATTGAGCCAGTTAATTTCAATAATAATCAGCATTCTACCATAAGCAGCTCAGATTTGTAAGTCACAAAGGAGCAGGTGAAGAAGGACAAGGAAGCCAGTACTGACCAGTATAATACAGTGGGAGTGTAGGTTTACTGTATGTGTGTTTCTGTCCAGAAAAAGCATGGCCATTCGCATCAATGAGAGGCAGCTGAAGGGGAATCAATATGTTTAGATAGGGCAAACCCCTTTGTTAGAAATTGATGGACACTGTGTTGGGTCTGGGAGGTCGGGTAAGTCTGACAGCTCAGGTGGAGGTCTGCATTATTACAAACTATACCTCCCTATGAACCTGAAATCTGTGTGTGACAGGAGGGTGCGAGTTTTTTAGAAGACTGGAGACGAGGCAGATCAACTCGATCATATAAAAACAATGAAATGTAAGAGAAGATGCATAATATTATCATCCAGTGTAAGGTTTATGCCACATAAATGCCCTAAATTAACAGTACTGGTAATTCCTAAATGCATTATTTATGTTTCTATAAGGGTTAATCCAGTAGTATGTGCAGGCTCTTCAAATAAAATGATATTTTTTAATGCAAAAATATAATTATTGTAATTATCTATGAAGTTTTGAATTCACTGTCATACTGTCAACAGAAACATTGTTTCATTGGTTGAATATTATGCTTGATGCAGCGTGAATTCTGTTTGTTTGCCAAAGTAAGGAGCAATATATAATTTTCAGTTTTAAATAGTTTTTTTTCATGTTTTCATGACACGTGTACTCACACTCATATATATATATATATATATACACACTCACCTTTGTTTTCTTTTTCATACAACATGCATTGAGCTCTATCCTAGCCCTTGACGTTTGCCATTATACTTCAGTATTACTCACCTTACCAGTTAGCTGTTCTCATTCTCATTTGATTCCTTCAGTTATCTTTCATTGCAAATAAATTAATGGATTTGAAGACTATTTCGCTCCACATTTTGTTATGACGATAGAATAGTGAGATCAGCGAGGCTACAGGCACAATTGACATGGTTCAAATGCCGCTTGGCTGCGCAGATGTAGGAGGACAAAGTAAGATTTTTTAAAAAAGAGTGACAAAAAAATGCCAAATAATAATTAGCCATCAGAAATGGAACAAACTGGGAAAATGACTGTAATTATCCTTTTAGACATCTGAATACTAATGCGGTTTAATTGTGCTTTAGTTTAAACCAACAATGCATTGTGTACCAGCTATTGCTCGTGAAGAAGTTTTAAGCATGTTTCTGTGTGTACACAGCATCTTCTTTTTCTAAGTAAGGCAAGAAAAACAAGAGATCAGAAAATGTGATTGAGAAGTGAAAGAAGAGGCTGCAAAGTGGGGGGTGGGGGTGGGGGGGGTGATTGGCAGAGAATAACTGAAGAAATGGCTCTGACCTTTTCTTTGAGTGGACCCTGGCTCTCATGGGTTTTAGTGCAGGTAGAAGAAGGGAGGTAAAATGTTGAAATAAAAGAACAGAAAAAAGGAAAGAGGCCAGCAGAAGAAGTGGATAAGTGTGTCCCAGTTGACATTCAAGGTTAGAATTGCACGCTCTCACATTCCCGCTCACACAAGCACACCAGTAAGTTGCTCTCCGCGCACACACTCATCCGCACGCAGTGACACACACACATCCTTCCTGCATCCTAATGGCAGTAATCACTCCCTGAACTCCTGCCTCAAGTGAAGTTCAAGTCCATTAACTTAAAATATATACAGCTTTTTCCTTCTGCTCCACACTTTAGCAGTTGTACTTTCATTTTTAGCTCATTTCTTCATTTTTTTCCTTTTCCTTTTTCTTTTTTTTAAAGTTGTCATTTCCTTTTCCTTTTTTCCAGTCTTAGTATGTTCTACAAGAGTGAGTGCTTGTTATCATTATGTTCCAGGTCTCGTCTTCGCTCGCCTCTCTTATTGAAGAAGTAGTGGCCATTTTTACCATCAGTGAAAGAAGCGTTATTGGAAAAAAACTTTCAACCTATCTACTCTCTTTCTCCACTTTCACATATTTTTTCCTATTGGATTTTTTCCCCCTCTCTCCTCTGCTGTGTGCTTTTTTTATGTTTCCTTTTATGCCCCACCATTGTCAGTTAAGTCAAATGGTTTGCTTTGTTGGTATGACATTTCTGGTTTATGCGTTTCCATGATGCTTCTCTCCATCCACATTATGCTGCTCTGTCCGCTATCGTTTCCTGTTCATTCTGCGTTCGGTTTAGGCTTTTTTCCCAATAGGCCTGCCTCACTCTTGTTGAATCTCAGGCCTCTCTATTTACAATACTATCTTAACTGTGCATGCTTTATACAGTTTTCTTGTGCTTTCTTTAGCTCTTGCTTTCTCTTATCTATTAAGGCACACATTGTACTTAATGTGATATTGCATTTCAGATATGTATGACAGGGTGCGCGTATCTATATTTCATGCACACGCTTGCTTTGCATTGCAAATGAGGTTATGGGGGGAAAAATTACCTACCAAAGCATGTGTTTTTTATATTTGGGCATACGTGAAGCATTTGTGCGCCTGCTTTTGTTTTTTGCATTCATATATCACAGTTGGCACACATTATTGTATGCGCTCCAGTTTAAGATCTGTTTTCCTGTGACAGCGGGGGGCACATTTGTATGTGCGTTTGTGTGTTGTGGTGTGTCACGCTGTCTCACAGTGTTTCCCACTTGGTACTTGAAGAGCAGTAACACTGTCTCAATAACTCTCACGCTCTTTCAATTCTCTTGTCGCTATCACATAATTCCATGCCCAGGCAATAAGACGCCAAACACTCAAGCCACTGAAGTCATTCAATTGCAAATAGAAATGGAACTCTCTGTGGATTTACTCAAGGTGTTTGATGTGTTTTTAAAGCCTCAATGAACAGCTTGTTTTTATATTTTATTTTTTTTAGATGTAGAGGTTTTGTAATGGGTACTGCCTTCAAAAGGAAAATTACAAAATACGATAAAGGAAATGATTACAATCAGTTTTTGGATCAAAACTAGTCAAACATACAAATGTTGCATGTTTGACTAGTTTTGATCACATTAATCACATTAAACATTCATAAAATGCAAATTAGTAAATGTTACACATGCTATATTAAAGCTCTTATTTATTGTTCACTGTCAAAAGGAGCCTTATCTAATCAGCGTATAACTCAGTATACAAGTATTATGTATAATACATAATACTTTTTGTTTTCACTGACATCATTCATACAGAGTTGCTTGGGCTTTCCATAAATGTCTTAGCAAGAGGTTAGCGTTAAAAATGCAATCATTAAAATCAACACCACTCACAAGTTGGTATATTGCTATAAATACTGAGTCTTGTAGGAATCCTAATTTTCCCAAGAATTATGCAATATTTCTATAATATCTGATTTATAAACCTGACACAACTCTAGGGGGAGTTGTTGAGTTGGTGTGTTATAGCAGTGTTTCCCAACATGTGCCGCGAGAAATAGTCAGGTGTGCCGTGGAAGATTATCTGGTTCCGCCTGATTAGTAATGGGCAGAAGAAATTACATGCTGTGAGACCACGCTGCGCGTAATAGCAATAGGTAAATATTTAAAAAGAAAACTAGTCAATCCGACCCAGATGAAGGCCCTAGCATGATTAGTGCTTAGAAGAAAGCAAAAAAAGGTATACTGGGGACAAACCGAGCCAATTCCGCTATACTTGGTGCTTGGGGAAAAATGATCAGAATGCTTTTCGTGACATTTTTGTTTGGCGATTTTTCTAATGTGAAATATGTGCCGTGGCTCCAAAAGGTTGGGAACCACTGTGTTACAGTATTTCAGCTGTATTTACCTACGTATTACTGCGGTAATTACCCAGTTGTATACTAAAACTAGTATTTATAATTTATCATGTAGAACATGAAGTCTTTGGGATCATATTGTACATGTTGTACATGATAAATTATCTGTTTGTTTACCATTGTTTAACCTTAGACTTAATATTAATTGTTGACATCTGACAATGTAGCAGTTTTGCTAAGAAGAAGCTATGAGAAATATAAAATTACATAAGATAAAAAAATATCTGATGTATTTAGCAATGTATTCAAAACATTTTAATTTACAATCATATCATTCTTTTCTCTTTGATTGCCTCTATTTATATATTTAAGGTAAAAAAATCACTGTAATAAATTTGAGATTCATTTATTAGCATTCAGCATGTTCACTCAAGGTAAGGCCAAAGTCTTAGAGAG